CTGTTGACGTAAAATATGCCACTGAGTAAAGATGAATAAACTAAATAACAATAATAAATAATTGGTAAAACATAATTATGTATTATAGATCGTTTCATCCACGAAGACGCGCCCCACCATTCTTCCGCGAATGTTTGAGTGCTATCGGTACACGCTAAATTATCAATGAGTGCACACGCACACTACAATAATGACGCTCGGATTGCTCGGATCAACCTCCCCGCACCCCGCGCTTCCCTCGCCAAAAATTGGTGGGGCGCGTCTTCGTGGATGAAACGACCTATAACATGGAAGAGTATTGGGTGGTATTGGCTCTTTTCGTAATTTCATTACCAGACACTGTGATAATGTCTAACTTCATGGTCATCCAACAACATTGTGTTTACTCAACTGTTAACAACAATTTAATGAATAATTACTGATTAGGCACGCGTAAAGTCCATATTAAATACTAGCGGCCGCCCGCGATATCGTGCGCGTGGACTCCGTTTTACGGGTGGAGTTTCGTAAAATTCTTAGCGGATGTTTACATCCTATTAGGAACCTACCTGCCTTTCAAGTCTTTAGGTTTTTAGTTTTTGAGATTTGGGATTCAATCAGTGAGTGTTATGGTATTTCGCTTTTTAGATTCTACATCATAATAATAATACATATAGTAAGTGGGTAGGTAGGTAGAATAATTTTAATTTTAGCAAAATTTTGTGTTAGTCTATTATTTTTTATCTTCCTACGTCATTTGACAAAAAATAAAACATTGACGTATTAATTAGTAATTTTCATTAAAATATTAGGTATTTCACCTTCCAAGTCATTGGAATAATTGAATAATGCCTTCTTATCATGTATTTGTAGAACTTTGACTTTAATTAAGTGTACCTAATAGAGTATAGACTTATAACGGAAACAACATTTTAGATTTTTTTAGATTAAAGGATACCTAATTTATAAAAATTTTGGAATTTTACATTTGTAATAAAATATTATATCTAATATAAATATTTTAAACTCGTAGCAGGTACAATGAACCATAGGTGTAAGTCCGTGAAATCCAAATGAAAAACTTAAAGATGATGAAAAAGAAAAATTGGTGATTTCGTAACCTTATAACACAACTGAACCTATTAGATTTTACACAGCCCTTTTATTGTAATTTGCATGTTGCTCCTCAGCTGCATTGGTACAGTAATAGCATCATCATCATCATCAACAGCCCTATACAGTCCACTGCTGGACTATGAGCCTCCTCCATAGTAGAGGGTTTTGCCATAATCCCCACGCTTGGCAGGCGGGTTGGAGATCGCAGTTTAAATGATTGATGTTTTTCAGAGAGCGCTGCTGCCCGTGTAGTCCTTAAGTCGCCTCTTACGACACCCGCGGGAAGAGTAGGGGTTGGTGACAAATGTATTCTACTCTGCCGTCACCACAAGACACGGCAGTAATAGCGTGTCATCCAAAATAGCCAAAGTTCGCAACACGTCTTTATACAATTGGAATAAGGTTGTGTTACCAAAATTTTGGTCATTTTGGGTCATTGGGTGTAACGAAGTATTTGACGCTGACTGTACTCTTAAGTTACGAAGATTAGACGACACGGTTAAAGAACATCAACATAACGTTTATTTATCTTATAAACTTATGCTGATAGACATATTTTGCAGAGTATAGTCACGATAGCCGAACGGTGAAGGGGTCGGTGTGGCCGACTCGAGATCCGAGGAACGCGGGTTCGAATCCCACCGCCGCTCGACTATTGTGGTGAGCCCACTCGTAACACAAGCTTAATTATTTAGCTTAACACATCGACCTTTTTGCAAGTACTAAATTTACAGTTAAAAGGGACGTCATTAAGGCACTCAGAAACCATTGACTATTATTGACGCAATGAATTGCTTCTTTGTGAGTTTTTGTTATTTTTAATTATTATCATTTTTTTAACATCTTTTATTCATATTTTTTCCCAACAACAATGTACTTTTATAAAAAGGGAAACCTTTCATTGGCTATACTATCAGTCTAAATCTTATAACTAATATTTTCAATGTATCGCTGTTGGTTTCTATAAAATAAATAAATAAATAAATAAATAAACACGAGGGGCTAACGGGACTATTAGTAATTTGTACAATACAAATGCTAATAATCTTTCTAAAAAAAAAAGGCGCGCGCGCACGGGTGATTTTGTCACCGTGATAGCGTGAGACTATGTCTCTCCTTAGTTATGAATAAATACTACGTTGCCTCTCTTTTTCTCTTTATAAAAATGTAAAAGAGAAAGATATACTGCCACGGTGGCAAAAAGTCATCCGTGCACGCGCGCCTTAACGCTAACGCTCAAGTCCCAAAATAGTCCCAAAATGCTCAAAGTAAAGTGAATCTTAAGTGAATCGTAATATACCTACTATTATGTATTCTGTGTCTTAAGTACATATTATCTTTTCATCTACCTACAAAGTTTGCTATGTTCGATAACCCATTCGATAGCGTGAATGGCGGAAAAACACCATTATTTTCGATGGAAACACCATTATTTTGTATGGTATCACATTTTCAAGACCGTTAGTTAACACACCCACCGTGCTTTTATCCTAATGTACCAAAAAAAGCTGTAATGAAAATTACGATGTAAGTAAATGTAAATAGAGGCCTTTTTGCTTTAATGGAGCAATTAATAAGGCTCGTACTTATTTATTTGTTTGTATTAAAACATCAACATTTACTTTTATTAATGTAGGCATGGCATAAAAAGCCCTGCTCTGGAAAAATATTACTCTTTATTAGACAAATAAATTCTCAAAATGGGAAAAGTAAATACTTACAAAAAGCAAAAAAAAAAAATAGTCGCCATCAAAGAAAAAAACCTACGCTTATTTTGTCGTTTGAATAATATTTTCCGTTTTTGCAACATTTTTCTTTACTGCTCCGCCCCTATTATTTAATTTTTCAAATCGGACCACAGTTCCTGAGATTAGCGCGTTCAAAGAAACAAACCAACAGCTTCAGCTTTAAAATATTAGTATAATGTGCTATTTTACAACGAACATTTGTAGTCTGAACAGAATGTCGACTGTACTTTAGTACTAATCGGAATAATGTAAAGCTAGATGTAATTTTAGAGATGCGACTCTGAATCCCTGAAGAAAAAGCTCAAGAAAATTCGTGCTTCATCAACGTTCAATAAGGAACAATTTAGCTTGCTGTAAAATTTCTCTGAAGCTTTATTTATTCTTGTAGATCGTGAACGGTGGAATCAAGTTATTCCAATTGCTATGAAGAAGTCCTTCAAGGGTGGCTAATATTTAAAGTTAGTCTAGATCCAGTTCAATTTGTAGGAGTTCTATCAGTATTAGAAGTTTTTTGCTTCAATTAGAATACGTTAATTGAATGAATAATTAACTACTAGCAGCCGCTTTGGACCGTACTTACGCGTGGATCCCGTTTTACACCCTTAGGGGTTGAATTTTTCAAAATCCCGTCTTAGTGAGCACCTACGTTCTAAAAGCAACCCCAATATGCAAAATTTGAGACTCCCTAGCACTTGTAGTTTCTGAGATTTCGTGATGAGTGAGTAAGTCAGTCAGTAAGCTTTCGCTTTTATTTTAATAAGTAATATATTGCAATATTAATTAAGACAAAATGACAAGTTGTATTCTGAGAGACTGTAACTTATGTAACACTAAATAAGCAAATTAGAATTACAGCTCTTTTATAAAGAAACATTTGAATACCTACACAAACATTTCGTTAATGGTCATGGTACAGTTAATTAATTTCAACGTTGACTTTATCTTTAGGCTTTAAAATAATTTATGAAACAAACGGAGGACGTGGTCTGGCGCTACAACTAACAATATTTGCTAAACATTTTTACTCAATTAGTAACAAAATTACAGCTGTATAAGAAAAAAATCCCTACTAATATTACAAATGCGAAAGTAACTCTATCTGTTACGTTTTCATGCCTAAACCACTGAACCGATTTAGATGAAATTTGGCATATAAATAGTTTGAGTCCCGAGAAAGGACAAAGGATAGTTTTTATCCCGGGTTTTTGAAACAGGGACGCGCGCTAAAAAGTTTTTCTGTGGCAAACAAAATTTACGCGGGCGAAGCCACGGGCAAAAGCTAGTAACAAATAAATAAAGGAGACAACTAATAGAACTTATATTTTAGTGAAATTGATGAATACCTAACCTTTCCCCTTATTGTTTTGTTTGCTAGGTTTAGGGAAATACTAAGAATAGCCTAGACCAGTGGTTCCCAAAGTTGTCTGGACTATGACTCATCTAATACAAGTTCCCAAACTCGGGACCCACCTGTAGGAAATTTCGCCCGCTGCCCAGCGGCCGGATCGGTAGGGTTGGTGTGTCGTTTTACAGGCAGGGCCCACTCTATGTTCGCTCGCGACCCACCACTGGGTCGCGACCCATAGTTTGGGAAACCCTGGCCTAGACTATTAATCTACGACAATAAACAATGGATCTGAAGTTTGGTGTAATTTGTTGTCTTATCTTTTCTATTGTATAAATAAATAGATAAACGACAACTTAGATTACTTTGAAATGTTTAAAGAGGCAATTTTGTAGATTGCTTTAAAAGCTTTCCGTTTCCGAATGCTGAAAGCTTTAGAACAATCTTTTGAATTGCTTTAAGTATTAAATATATCATATACTTAGTCAAAAAGATTATATTTTCTTTAAAAATCATTGATTTTAGATAAGGACGCATCCGATGCACATCATCATGGTGTTTCATATACCACATGGATGAATGACATGAAATCCCATAAATTCCTACCTACGAGTACGTTCAATTATACACGCATTGCCCGCATTTGAAAAATCTTTGTGTAGCGTTAACAATTTTCATTTCCTTAAAAACATAATTTAGCCTATTTACGGATGTTTTGTATGGCATATGACGCCGCGGCGCCGTGAGAATTTCTATGGCATCTATAGGTATAGTTTCTTGGCCCTCGTCCTGAAGATTATCAATTGACTCACCTGCCACTCATGACATTGTACAGTATAGGGTTGACAGTAGCCGACACGTAGTAAAGCGCCCCCGCCACATTGAAGAGGTGCTCGTTGATGACGTGGAACTGAGGCAGGCTGTCCCCGTAGATGAAGAACAGCCTCTGGATGTGGAAAGGGGCCCAGCACACGAAGAAAGCTACCACCACCGCAGCTGCGGACAAAAGTAGTGGTTAGATGGATCTGAAAGAGCGGGACCCTCATATTATCTCTAAAAAACCTATTAAGTTATCAGGGGTTTTACTAGCAATTTAGTCAGAGTATAAAATGTGTAGCAATAGGTACCTCTTAACTTACATAATTTATAGTTTCCTCCTCAAAAAAACTTTTGATGAGTTTGAGTTTTAAGTAAGTTTTTTCTTAATTTAAAACTGAAATTTATTAGGTAGTAAGCTTTTATAAATAATGCTTTTAAGATGAAACTTGTTTTTGTCTAAGATTTCCAAGATAGCTGTAGGGATCCCTGAACATAAAGGATTATTTTGAGCCACAATATTTAAAACTCCATTCATTTCTTTCTAAGAACTGCAAAAATACTTAGTAAAAATTTTTCGTGAGAATTTTCAGACATGTCTTATTATAATTATTTCTGCCTGTCCCTACCAGATAGGCTATATTTAGACTAAGTATTACTAATATTATTTACACAAATCCAATTTTATTTCTATCATTCAGGAGTCTCTTCGCCTCAGGGACAAACACCGAAGGTTTTCATCTGTAGAATTTTTGAAATTATCACTGGAACTTTACCAATCGAAAAAAAAATATTTTATTTATCTTTACTTTTTCGCAGACAACCAGAAGAACAATATTAAGTGCCATACTTATCTTAGGCTGAGTTGGGAGGGTAAATATCTGTTTACCTTTATAAAAGTGTTTTGTTGCCAAATCCTGTATTTACAATGAAAAATGCAAAATAACACTTTAAAATATTATGAGTTGCACCAACTTACTTTAACCGTAACTGTAACAATGTCCGGTGTGCTTTGTATGGAGTTTGTCAAAAATCTGACAAATTTCATACAAAAATTAGCAATTACTTATCGTTTAGTTACGGTTAAAGTTAGGTACTTAGTGCAACTCAGCCTAAATATCCTAAGTAATTACTATGATACCACTGGGAAACTAATCTACCATGGTCGGATGATTTTCTATGTGGCTGAACCGTGGGCATCCTAACTGAGTCGTACTCGGTCCTAATTGCATGTATTATGGATCGTACATTTTGGTACGATAAAAGTATTGATTGCTTATTGAATAATGCATAGTAGGATGGATTTGCCTGCTTAAAATGCTGATGGAAACTCGACAGGATCTGACGGTACGTGTGTGAGAGACGGTGATTAACTGAACAAATAATTGTCAACGAAACCGAACTGTTAACGTTAACCTAGGTCTACCAATCCAATTCCCTACAAACATTCTATAAAAACGGGCCAAGTTTAGATTTTAGCTCATAGTGAAATAGGAGGCATATGTACCACAGAGTAAAACCCAAATAATGTTACTAATGATACTCGATCTGTATTTTAAATGACGCTAAGTATAAGTTAAATTTTTAAGCCGAAGTGAAGCCTAAAAGCTAAATGTACCTAATTGTTAAAACGGCTTCATTACCATACTTTCAGGTTTGACAGCTACAGTGACTGTGTTCTATTTTTTGCTCAATGTGGGTTTCAAAGTTGAAACTCGCCGTGAATTTTAGAAGTGTTTTAGCTTTATGTGGCAGTGAGTCAGTGAATGTAAGATTAGCATACATTTGCATTCAAAGAACTTAACTTTGAGTTCTAAGATAACTTGTTCTAAGTTGTCTACAGACAATGTAGCAACTTTAGAATAAAATGGTGTAAAATGCGCTTAACGTGACTAGAACTACCAATGTGTCTAGCTAGACTATAGATTCAAAAGTAAGCAAAAATACTTAGAAAGTCGTCCTAATAGGCAGTTGGATTTCATCCCAACTTGGCGAGAACACTACCGTGCCCCTAGATTGTTCAGTTTCAATATTGAATCTGGGAACAATCTCAAACAAAAGCCTAATGTAAATTAATTAATTTCTTTGCTAAGAAGAAGCTTAAAACACACCGGATTAATGTCAAGAAATGTTTTCTTGAAAATCTTCATTAATTTCAACCTTCTGTTTCTTTTTCAAGGCAACGGGAATATGAAAATAATATCATACTTTAAATGAAATTACGTCCTTTGACCCGAAGGTAAAAAGTTGTTGCCTCGAAATTAGGAACAAAAAGATTAATTCAGTTGTTACAAACCTTTGAAATGTGTACAATATCATTGTTATTGTTACTTTCGCAGGTTTTGTTTTTGCTTGTTATTATACTTCACAGAGAGGCCTCAAAATTTTCTTATTATCTAGGCTTGTACAAAGCTTGTAAATTACAAGCTTTCCTGTATATTACAAGTTTTAGTATACAGGAATTGCTATAGGTCGCGCAGCGAAAGTTAAGACTAACACGGTCTGGCGCTGTCGTCATATTTGCATGTACAGGAACATAAATACAACACATTACACATTCCAGCTCAAATATCGAATACACTAGCTATCTCGTTCTTGCTAAATATAACGAATCCTTGCAAGACAGAGACCGCTTGTCAGTCAGCTTACACTAATAAATAATTAACAGAAATATCTTAGCCTGTGTTGATCGCCTCAAGTCTCGCTGCGCGACTTTTAAAGGCCATTTCGAAGAAATGCGTTACCTGGTACCAGTCACATAACTTTTAAACTTTGTAACTGTTCATTCAGCTTTCCCAATTACCTTTCTGCAGCAAAAAGTATTTAACTGTTGTTTTAGACTCAGTAAAGTCCACAATTTTTCTTTGATAAACTTTGTCAAGACGAATAAATCCTTTTGCCTATAAAAATAATAACTTCTACCAATAACAAGAGAAGTTAATGCCTGAGTTTGGAAGATAACGACAAGTTAATTGTTTGAAGTTTTATTAACATTTCCAAAGCTACAGATTGAAGTAACTTCGCGAGGGAGTGAACTTGTTAAAGCTACGTTCATGATTGCTGAGCTTACCGCAGAGCTTTTTTAGAAAAATGTAGGTGCAAAGAGTCGTTTTTGGTCCATTATGACTGCCACAGTTGGTCCACTTGAATAGGGTTACACAATAAGAAAGAAATTACTTATAAAAATATTAGCATTAAAAGTTGCATTTCAAACAAATTTTTTAAAACTTGAAAAAACGGTAACGTAAGATGGGAATTGAACCTTGATGTTGACGAACATTCGCTCTTCAGCCACTGCTCTGTTCCCTGAAAACCCACAAACCGGTATCGTTTGCGAAGAAATTAAGGCCGGGTAGCAGAGAAAATGGCGAAAATGAGGTTTTCATTTTTCATTTTTGAGGTACTAAACAGTAAAATTAAAGGCTAAGATTTTTATTGGGCATAGTTGAGGATATTTTCTAGGGCTATTAACGGATGGAAACACGATTTGATGAAGTTGACTCGATAGAATAAATTCCCAAAGTTACCTCTATTCGTTTTCTATTTATGGTTTTATTTTTAAAATAAGCGATTTGAGATTCTAAATCTTTTACTAAACTAAAGTTCAGAAATAACTTGAGGGCTTTTAACGGATGAAATTTTTATATTGCGTCTTATTTAGTTACAATGTTAAAAAATGTGGAAAAAATCGTCCATGACGGCTTGGACAATCTCAATCAGTCGCGCGGTGGCGCTTACGGAGGACGGACGCGTGTCAGTTTTTTGGCCGTGACAGTTCGCGATTTGTCAATATTTTTGACAATGATGACTTTGATGAGTCACAGTATAATAATATCAGTGTTACTGGAGAAAGCTTAAATTTTTGATAATTAAGAATTATCAATTTTGTCTACCTATTGAAATTTAAATCGTTCGCATCCTTTTAAACGAAGACTCTACTCATGATACATAGTACATTCCTCAAATATGAGACAAAACCAATGAGTTAAAATTACATTTTAATAGTACCTACATACAATCGTCTTACACTCTTTAGAAGAGCACACTGACACAAATAAATAATAAAAAATACTGTCTAAGGTCTGTAGCTAAAGGTCTAAGCTGTAAGATAGAAGAATCTTCTAGCCAAAAAGATGGCAGATGCAGCAGATGTCAACGGATTTAAAACTGGAGTTCATATGACTCCTTGTAGACTTGAGTCTCTAGAGCGTCCCTTCCTCCACCATGCGTAAGAATGTTTCAAAAATACTGTCTAAGGTCTGTAGCTAAAGGTCTAAGCTGCAAGATAAAAGAATCTTCTAGCCAATAACTTTAAAACTATAATTTGAACGAATTTTGCTATTAGTGGACAAATTTCTGCTCACGATGGACTAATTATCTGCTATACTCTCGACTCTCTAAAGCACAACATTTATAAAAATTTTGCTGCGGTAATGCACTCCAGGTAACAGTGTGTGATGCTCATTGCTCATAGTGATTTTCGATACAGAGCCCCGTACATACGTTATACATAAATTATGGAAAGAAAACACCCAGACCAATACAAACAAATATGTATGCAATTTTAGTATGATATTTTTATTTATTAATAAACAAAAAGACTGAACAAAATTGATGCGTGTACTGATTAATGTAATTAACCATATGCAAAGCTTTGTGAATTGCAACAACTATAATTTATTATCCAAGCTCTAAATAATCGCTACTACGAGTAACTGATCATAAAATGTTTTTCCAATCGCTCAAGCTCCCGAGGATCTACCGATAGGTCGGGTGACGTAATCTTGAAATTCTTTTAGCCGGCGCGGAACTACCGGAAGGTCGGGTGACGCCACGCCTCTTTGAACCGTGTTTACTTTGGCAGTTATATTCTATATTTATTCGATTCTAAAATATATTCCCAAAAATTTTGAAAGTTGTTTTAATTTGTATCACTTGGATATGATTTGTATTAGAAAGTGCTGTGAGTGTGACGCTTGAACGGAAGGAAGTCAACCTAACCTAACCAACTGCGTATTTTCAAACTGCGTATTTCTATACTGTGTAGCCGCGAGAGCTCTTTGGCGCGCTGTCTTCGGCGAAGTATTGCGCGCGCAGATTTTGACAGCGCGAAATACCTACTTTAGCAGAAATACCAAGCCTTAACAAAAACACAAGCATAAACGTAGTATGTTTTTACA